TTTATTTTATTTACTTTATGTTATCATATTCTAACACTTGATCTAGTCTACTATTTTGACAACGTATCACTCATCTTATGTCTCCATCGTATTATATTCACATATTCGCATTTCCGAATGTACTTTATTTTTCGATCACCTATTTCACACTTGTCTATTGAACTTTAGGTCCACTTCTATTTATTTGGTTTTTCATTCATATATATAATCATTTGTGACCTATAATCCTATATACTAGTGTTATCATAGCACTTTAGTATTTCCACCCACTGTTAAACTTTAACACGTACACACAAAAAAAAACTGATTGTTATTATCTATTGTAATTCATAAATTAGAGAAACAAATGAAACCAGCCACGGAGCACTGAACAGCCATCTGTTTCATCCTAGTCTAGGAATTATCATCAGTACGCAGTTGGACCCAGTTGGAGTAAAGGGCTTCAGCCGTACATCTTCATTACAGTCTGTTCTCCTCCACGGCTTTCAATTACCTTTACGACTGTCCATCAACTTTCACTCCTTCTTCACAAGATCTTTGCAGTTTCACCCTCGAACCAATGCCTAATTCGTCGATTCCCATTGGGAAAGACGCCAAGTGGTAGCCTGGTGTCGGATTTCACTTAATGGTCTCTTCAACAAATGTCCACTTGCATATTTGTTGAGCAGTAGGTTGTTGGCTAGTTCACTGCTTGTCAAAGTTCCTTGTCGTTTATCCTTGCCAATCAGACATTTTTTCTTTATTTTAGCGATGGTGAAAGCAGCCTTTACTGAAAGTCTGCACTAGCCTGTTTAAATCCTTTCGATAACGCTCTTGAAAAGACTATCAACCAAATAGAAGCACCGACTAACTTGGCATTAGTGTTAAATAATCAGACCTAATTCTTTGTGCAGAGTCAGTGTGAAAGATCTTCACACTGATTTCATTGTAGGGATGAAAGAAGGCGAGTTCTGCTCTCATGATCCGGCCGTATGTGACTTCGATATCCCTATCTATGCGGTCACCTGTTGTTTAGACGATTCTATCGAGTTAAATGAAAGTAATGATTTCATATGAATTTCTCCTATTTATGCTGATTTGCAGTTATTGTTGCTGTTGGTCAGTGGGACATTTTCATCAACTGCGTCTTCTCGGTGTTCACCTTAAGTCCTGTTTTTGCTTCCTTTTGTAACAACTCATTGAGAGATATATCACACCGTGGATAGTGAAAGGACAGGTATATTCTTGACCAAAAAAGGGACTCTTAGAAGATCTGAATTTCGAGGATGATTTATGTCTGGTGTCGGGAGAAAGAGCAATTAACGAAGCAAAATCTAACATGTTAAAACTCAATTCAAATTGAAAGAAATCTACATTTACCTGTAGCATTTCATCCCTTAGTATCAAACAACTTTTAGACTTCTATCTCAGGATGCAAAGTGGGATGTTTACAGATGAATCAATATTTCTCCAAAACAGTGAAAGTAAGACTGTGAGGAAATAAAGTAGATCTAACTGTCAGTCCTCAATGTCTTTTTTTAGATGAATGGATGCAAGACTTCGAAATTAATGAGTCAAGGTAAAACTTAGTTGATAATTTTCTATCATATCTTCTGTATTTTTTGACTTTCCGTAGTTGACATTCAATAGACTTACACTTTTGTATATAATTCAGACAAACAGTCAAAAATTCCACTGTCTACTCTAACTTGTTCCAGTCGCTTTTATATCCATACAACTTCATTCTACATGCTACTGTGGAGCTAAACACACAGACTGTACTAGTAGCATACTGTCCAGACGTGCATATGAATATCTCCAAATATGGTTACCAGAAGTAGAAGTTAGAAATCCACTTGTACTATTTCCGAACAACTTCTTCTTATCCACCGTTCTGTGTCAATAGTGAAGTCTTCCAAAATGATATGTGAGGAAACACGCTCCTGTTAGTTTAAATTATACAATAATTTGGTATGTAATCCATCCTAATCCGCTTCTGTCTTTTCTCTTCATTCTTTTCTAACTCTCTGATTTTAAAATATATATAACTTGTGCATATTATAAGCCTTCTACTTTTATGATCAATTTTCTTGTTTCCAAGATCTTATAGTTTCAGTGATAATCTTTCCTGAACTTTGTTCATCACTCAAATGTTTATTAATGGTATCCATCATTTGCCTTTATAAACATTTAATTTGAATCAAGCATTTAGAAGACAAATTTCGCAAAATGATATCATTTCGTAGTTTCTTCACAATCACTTTACAACTAACATGGTTAACAATAATAAAATAAAGTTCATGACAATTACTCAGTTAAATAAAAAACAAAAGTACATACTAATGACCAATCACATTCGAATAGGTCATGTAGTCCATGGTAGGCGAAGATTGAAGTCCCGATGATTGCGTACTGCTGAAGAGTCCAAAACTAGGACGAAACAGCTGTCCAGTACTCCCAGGTTTTCCAATGGTTTCCTAACGAATGTCAGCTCACGATGAAATCCTGTAAACAATCAAAGCCCTACAAACCAACACTTGAAATGAAGTTTATTGTTTTTTGTACACACAGTTTAGGTTGTATGTGATTAACCCAAAGTACTTCCATCACCTTCAATAACCTTGAATTAGAGTTAGGTGATGAGATAATTGTGAAACAGTCATTAATATTGATTTTGTGACCTGATATTGATAAGTGCTTTGCAATCGATGATGCTGGATTTCTATTCAGATTAATGGTATTGGGATTTTCTATATGATTTAGTAGCCATTTCGGAAGTCGTTCTTTTCGACGACATTGGAACATTCTGTTGGTTCGACCTATATAGGTGTCACCACAACTGCAGGTGAACTTGTAGATGCAGTTTGAAGTAGAGTCCACAGAATTTCGTCCTTTAATCCTAGGTAGGTACAGGTATCGAAAATGTTCGGCAAATGAGAAAAAGAGATGCGGCGTAGAATGTGCGTTTGATGGCTGACCGATGTCTTTGAGTTGTCAACTGCATAATCTGGTCACCCTTGAATGGTAGGTTAATGAAGATAGCTTTCTTTGGTACAGAAGCTATCTTTTCTAACGAAAGTACAAGTCTATTGAATGTCAACTACGGAAAGTAAAAAGATACAGATGATATGACCGAAAATCATCAACTAACTCAAGGTTACTGAAGGTGATGGAAGCACTCTGGATTAATCACAGTGAGTGCGTACTTCCGATGATTCCCAAACTAGAATGAAACAGCAGCTGTTCAGTGCTCTCTGGTTTTCAATGGTTCTCTAACTGATATCAATCCGTGATCAACTCGTAAAAATCACATACAGCCTAGACTGTGTGTGCAAAAATCAATTGACTTCAATCTTCGCCTACCATGGACCTATTTAAATATGACTGGTCATTAGTATGTACTTTTGTTTTTTATTTAACTGAGTAATTGTCATGAACTTTATTTTATTATTGTTAACCATGTTAGTTGTAAAGTGATTGTGAAGAAACTACGAAATGATATCATTTTGCGAAATTTGTCTTCTAAATGCCTTATTCAAATTTATCAAAGGGACTAACTGTTTTAACATTTAATTTTCAGAACAAGATTCAAATGTATAGCTGTGATGTGAATACACGAAAATTATATTCATTTCTGACCTATGTCTTTTCACTTCAATTTTTTGCATATAGGTGTACTCTCTGCCAACAATCTCTTTAAGCATGAAGCTGATGAATCGTTTTAATGTACAACAGAGCTTCTGAATATCTAGGAAATTGAGCCTAAATGAAAGGTAAAAGGAATCGGTAGGAAGTCATGAATGAAGTTATCATCGTCAAGTGAAATCTGTGGTTCTGAGGAAATTTATGTATTTTTCATTGTTCGAAAATACATTACTCTCAAAATCACAGGATTCATTATCCAAGCTGTTCAGAATACGAGTTGCCATTGCTAAATTGAATTATTTTTCTCAGGTTGTTACCTGTATGCAACTTGCATAACTGTCTATTCTTAAGTATGTTAATGGGAATTTATCTTTTAATACTTTTAGAACAAGATATCTGATTACCATCCCGGGAATAATCTATTGACTGAAACTACTGAAATGTAATCCCCCCTAAAACATATCGGAATAGCGCATTAAAATCCTTGAGAACCTGTTATTACTGTTATTCTCTCGGGTCCCGAGTAGAACAAAGGGTCTCAACAACACAAGTCCATTTCACTCTTTTCTCTGAACTCCCCTCCAGCTGACTTCACGATCTTCCGCATGCTTTCATATCTTCCTCACACAGCCACCTCCATATCACTCTTAGACCTACGACAATGGTTTCCTATTTTTTTTTTTGATTACAGCTTGATTTCACACTGTATTTTTGGTACAAGTATGGAATTTTCAGCATGGATATCGGTAGCCCAAATTTTTCAGGCCGACCATAGATATCAGGTGTGCATCGGCAACGGATCGAACCTCGGACCATGTGCATGGTCGGCGAGTGTCCTAACCACTGCGCCACCGACGCACATCCAAGGACCTACTTCACTCACGATGTCACTCAGTCATCTCCTCAACATGTATCCGATCCATCTCCGTTGTCTTCCACATATTTGTTGATTCCTTGCCAGAGTTCCTTATTGCTGATCCCCTGTGATCACTGGATCTTCTTTGAGAAATGAAACTTGCAAATAATCTTGTCATAAAAATATATATACTACGCCCTACTCCACAGCATCATGTAAAACCTACTTGCCTAGTGGTTTTCATTCAGATAATGAAAGAAGAAATTAAGCAAAATTATGGTTGCTAATGAAATCTTGATTTCATAATTGCTGCTATCTTAACATAATTAAAATTATAATCTCTCTAATAGTCACATAGCCAACGGACGAGTTTTTTGATCATCAATTTTGCATTTCATTACAATTTGCACTAAAAATGTAACGAAATATGGTATTGAAATTCTATCACTAAAATATAGTGATTGATTCTGATTATTTCATCTGAAAGTAAGTTAATATTTAATATAAATTAAGCGGAGTGGAATTTTTATGTGCTTAAAGTGATGGCTTTCTAGGAAAGAGAATACATATACACACTAGGACTACTCTAACTTGCTCACTCAACCAATTATTCGTAGAAAGATCTGAACACAAGAATTTGGAGAGTCAGCAAATCATGATCAAAGTTTAGTTACATCATTGAATGAATGAGAAATCTACCTCGTTTCAATGGTGTTAATTTCTCACTTTCCATTCAAAGTAGATTAAACACAAATTGTGCAAAACAATCCATGCAAAAGTTATACAGGCTGCATTGAAATTAATGTGAGTGGATAACTTAAATCCACACACTTAATAAGAAAAACTACATAAATTTAGTCTGTAACAATTACTTAACTAGTTTGTTAATTTTACAATTGTTTTGTGGTTATCGAGTTCATCATCACCCTCTTCTAGTAATATTAATAACCATTGATAATGCAAAGCATACTAATTAGACATCGAGAGGCTATTTCACTTCATCTTATCATAATCTACTTCTTAGTATACAAAATAACGGAATCTATGCTACAGTATGGTACTCGTATCAATGTCTATTCAACTGTTTGCAAAGCGTTAACAAGCCAACTGAATGAATCTCTTGACGAGTTATGTCATCATCGGAATAAAAATAAAAATCTTCAATCATCATCATCATCATCATCTTCTCCTTTCACTGCCAATCATACAGAGTCTGCTCCAGCAGACACGGAAATAAATGGTTCAACGATAATGTCACCTGGATCTACACTACACGCTATAGATATTGAAATTCAATACCTATCTGGACTATATCTGTTAGTTTATCGACTTTTGCTGAATATACCTGCTGTGATATCATGTTTATTCTATGGTTCATATGCGCAGAAAATTGGTCATAAGTATATAATGTTAATCCCATGTTTAGGATCTATATCAGCCTGTTTCTTTTTCATTATCAGTCTCTCTTCAGACTTGAAGTTAATTCCAGATTCGATTATGCTAACATTGATTGGTGCTACATCCTATGGTGTCTGTGGAAAGAGTAGTGCAGTGACTATGGGTGTAAATAGTTATATTTCTGAGAATAGTGTTACACAGAAACGTACACGTATGCTTGCACGACTATTGGGAATGAATTTTTTAGGACTTTCTTTGGGTACATTATTTCTTGGTGTATTTTATCAATTCTCAAATTATTTTGATCTACTTATATTTGTGATTGTTGGAGATTTATTTGCTGTTTTATTGATATTTTTGGCAACTTATCTTAAAGATGATGGAAAGCTGTCATCATCGTCGACAGAATCATCAGCTATCTCAGAAATTTCAAATGAAATAACATCTACCACGAGAGAAACATCACCATCATCCTCTTATGAAAACCAATTACACAACGATAAAACTGATGAAAATCATAATGAATCGGGGAATTCAGTTTACTATAAAGAGAATGCATTATGGTATAAAAGAATACTGTATGGAATAGTTGAACCATTCAAAACTGTCATATCATCATATACATTTTTATTTAAAAAACGCGACAACCATAGACGCCTTTATCTCATCATCATACTTGTTAGTGTTCTCTTCAAACAAATGGCCAAGTCAGGTGAACAAGATGTTACTCTTTTATACTTGACCAATGAACCAACCCTACTGTGGAGTGCTGAACTCTACGCTTTCTATACATCACTATATTACAGCTTAATGTTTATCCAGTTAATAATTCTATTGCCAATATTGGAGAAGAAATTTGCATTTCGTGATACAACACTAATATTGATCGGTCTTATTTCAGAGGCCATTCGCCTTTTTGTTACTGGTCTAGTAAGGAATACAGTAATCCTATTCCTCACAGCTGTCTTTGGATCTATGGCCAGTTTTATTACGACATGTACACGTTCACTAATCAGTAAACTTGTTCATGGGGATGAGATGAATGCGAGTTTTGCAGTAATTTCAATACTGGAAACACTAGCTAATCTTATGGGTGGTGCACTGTTCACACTCATTTATAATAAGTCGCTATTATTCTACCGGCCTTTTATATTTATTCTATCTGCTGTTTTGAATATTCCCCTGATATTTATTTTCATTTGGTTAAGATATAAACTGTTGATTTATGAAGTATACAGTTCGGAACCTGAGAAAATTTCATCAAATGAAGAGACCGTTGAAAACAAATACGAAACTACGTCCTTATAACATGTGTTGTGTAGGCGTTTGGTGTTGGAAATAATGTCGCCTTGACTATGTGAGGAATAACAAAGCTGAGAAAGAGAATTTCCCTGTGATTACTTTGTATTGTAATTTTTATTATCTTCCATATGTATCATTTAATAAATAGAACTTTCGAACATTATTATTAATAGTAGTAGTAGTACTGTTCTGAATAAATGGTATGCTTATTCGAAATTAATAATCAAATCATTGGAAGCCATATTACACCTTAGTCTTATATTTGTTGATGTGGATCATTAAAGTGGATTTATAGCATTTAAATAAGCCGTCGTCTTCCGAGGACTCGAACTTCGGTAAACGGTGAGGACAACGTTTCTTTAAATAAGCTAACCAAATTATTTATCAAATTACAGTATACTATACAGTTATATGAGTTGCTTTTATACTTGATTTGTTGACTTTAATCGGAATTAGTAACCAGTTAGTTTAAAACGGTACGATTTATATGCTTTTAGCTAGAGTAGTATTATCTGTATTCAAATGCATATGAAACTGAGACAATTGAATTGGTATATTTAAATGCTTTGTGTAAAAAAATATCTAAATTGCTTTCTCACCGAATCGCAGCCTTATTGCTGGTAAATTCGTGTGCAATTGGGACGTTTCTGAAAAGCAAGACAGTATTCTAACACCTGGGGTATTCTTTGGAGGCTATATCCTGAGGTGTTTGCTGTTAATCATATGCTTTATCGACAGAGAATTCTGTTCATAAATTCTATTCAGAATTAATTAGAGTTCGTTGGAATCAATACGAATTCTTTCTTTTACTCACCACTTTTACACACAGTAAGTAAATATATTGGAACCGTGTCGTTACAGTCGATTGACACAATATAAATTCTGAAGGTAATTAGGTTGTATATTCTAGATAAGTTAATTACTCGCATTCATGTACAAGATAAAGTTCATTGTGTGTATAAAGAGAGAGATCGTCTTTAAGAACCCTATAGTGTCATTCTTCAGAAACGCTATTCGTTCTCTTGCCTGGAATTTAGTGAGAAGTCATGACCAATGTGACCCACCGGTTTGAGTCTGAGGACAAATAGTCTACGGAAACGTTCACTGGTGGTCGCGCTAAAATCACGAATCAGTAGAAGTTAGTAATCATAGACCACTTAGTCGGATCCCAATGGCTGAATGGTCTACAAGCTTTACTTGTAACCAGAGGATCCTGGGTTCGAAAACCGCCGGTGAGGAGACCCAAACAAGGGCGAAACAACTGTCTAGTACTCCCTGGTTTTCAGTGGTCCTCTAAGAGACTTCAGTCTGTAATCAAATTTGAAGTTATTTCTTCAGTTTGACAAACGGTCACTTATGGGTGTATGGGAAGTAGTTCAAGTATGCTTAGCCTTTCGATCATGAGAAAATTAAGTTCATCACTTTCCTTAATCAATTCTGCTAGTTTTGATCATGTAAAGTTAAGGCTTATTAGAGGAAGGTGAACTTGTATTCTTGAAGAAGAAAGTCATTTCATTTGGACCCAGATAATCGGTTAGATTAGTTCCGAAAAAAAATTGAAGAATGATAGTATCTTCCAATCAGTTATCAGTTAACTTTGGCAATAGTATTAAAATGACTCAGAAACACCAAGAATTTGTGTTGATTTCAAAACTACTGTTATCTGTATATTCCATTAAATATCCTATTACAATAGAAGTTTCCTCTGGAATTATTTATCGAATGCCTTGTTTCAGATATCCATAGATGAAGAGTTTAAATCTTCAGCTATAATAATAACAATAACACCAGGGGGATTATCATAATATAACTTCCCACCCTTTGTTGTGGATGTTTCCCCTAGTTATATAACAAGTCAGTACAAATGAGGTGATGATAAGTCATAATGGTATGGAAGCGTGTCATAATGACGTTACTGTATATATAGTAAAGGTGATCTTGAGCATAACTGGCTACTTTGGTAAAAATATGGTTGGCAAACCCTTTAAATCTGTATTTCAAATCAAGGAACTGTCATATTTGTGATTTTCTGTGATCATTGAAGATCGTCAACCTTACCGTATATGCTTCAAAGCTAATGTTTGAGGCTTATCTACTTAAAAATCATGAATACTTGTGCGCCATTATAGATTGTCTATACTATTACTGGACAGCTCTTCCTAAGCCTGTGATAATTCCTTATATCATATTCTAGTCACAAATAATTTAGCATGGACACGGAATCAGAGTCATGAAGTAAGTTCATGTAAACTAATAGTTGAAATTCCCAAAGATGTATGTTGAAGCCATTTTCATCCAAACGAGTCAGTATCAGCTGTAATTGCTTTCAAGTGGCCACCGATTCACTTATAGAAGGAAATGGTCTTTCGACTATCCGCATTCTGTAAAGACCTTCTAAAGCTAAGCAAACGTACCAGGAGGTTAAGGCGGTACACAGACTTAGGGAACTTCTGTGAATTCAGCGGTAAGATAGTATTACCTTTAATTTTTATTGAAAACTGTTTCATAAGAACTAAATGTCGTCGCTCCTATCAGATAAAATGAAAATAAGCTTATATTCATCTGAACATATGCAATCATATAAGACAAAAGATCGAACCAAGGTTGAGTATGAGGAGCAGAGTTAGTGAACCTTTGCTAATTGTCTGAAAATATTTAGTTTCATATGTGTGTTATTGGTTAGTGAATCTGTCAAAATCGAAAAATACACTAAATACTCTTTCTCGTCCCTTCTGTTGTAATCTATACGAGACCGATTAATACAATCGGTTTGATGCCGTGATAAATATAATGGGTATGCGACAGAAAAATCAATAACATTTTAAAGAATTCCTTCTAATGAATTTTAAGTTCATAGTTCATATTACTGATGTTTTGAAAAGTCCACAATGGATTTTCAAGAGTTGGTTTGTAAGGATTAGATTTGTTTTCGAGTTTGACCACGGATTGATATCAGTTAGAGAACCGCTGAAAACCAAGTGGTCGTGACCAATGAGATCCATCCAGTCAAATGTGAGGATGGACGTCCCACCGATGACAATGGATTGTGGTCGCACTGAATCACGAATGTGTAGAAGTTAGAACTCATGGGCTGGTCACTGAATCGAGTACCAGTGGTTGAATGGTATACGAGCTTGCTGGCTATGTAACCGGAAGGTCTTGGGTTCGAACACCGAGTGGTGGGTGCACACTGCTGATGATTTCCGAATTAGGATGAAACAGCTGTCCAGTACTCCAGTGCTGGTTTCCAATGGTTCTCTAACCGACGTCGCTCATGATGAAATCCTGCAACTAATAATTATTTACATAAAGCAATAAGAAGATGTAATTTGTCTGAATCGTGTGCAGTGTGTATTTGCGAAACACATTTCGAACAATCTGATCACACACGGACTTGTCATAGAAATATATGTATGAAATTAATAAAGAGTTAAGAGGCGAGAAAATAGACTTAGGTCAGGTTAAAAGAACATATTGAAGGTCAAAATAACAATGAAGATGAATGACTAAACCAAATAAGAGAGGTAATAGTACATCTGCTATGGTATCAAAACAAAATTTACCAATGAAGGTTTAATGTGATGACGAATTGTTTTTGAACGCATAACGATGGCTTAAACTTTCTAATTGCTAGGGCTTCCACAAACTTTAGGATACACCCCAAACACGTTTTATAGATAGGTTTAAAAGACGTGTGTAAACATCGATTTTATGTCCTGTCTCTGTAATGGATTTCGCAACAGAGGAGTTAGGTCTCCTGTTCTCACCATTAATGGGTTCTGAAGATTCTATTTGTGTCTGGAGCCATTTAGGAATATGCTCTGAAGCCAGTTTTACTTGCAGAGATCGATGAGTCCTCCCTATGCATGTGTGTTCACACATATATTCAAACTGGTAAATACAGTGGGATGTGACGTCCTTTTTCGCATGTTCGAAGGGCTTAGATAGATATAATGGCTTTACATTCTCTATTATTATGATATTAGCTGCATAAAAAGTCTTTTTAACAGTAGCGTTCAGTCTTTGTCTAGTTATCAAGCTGCTTTGATGCCCCATATAGGGTAGCTTGATGTGCACGTCTTTCTTAGGGGCGAGTTGGAGAGTGGGTCTTGGTGTTCTGACTACTTTATGTCTCTTGATGAACTTTTCTGGATAATTGTTATCAACCACAGTCTGTGTCAACTTTCTTTCTTCTTCATCAAGTGTGTCTTCAGTTCACGTTAGTTGGATTCTACTGAAGAGGCACCTTACTAAGCCTCTTTTGTACCGAACAGGGCAGAAACTGTGGTAATTAAGATACTGTTCTGTCCAGGTAGGTTTTCTATAAATATAAAGACTTATCACTGATGATTACAATATTATCTACATACCTCCTATAAAGTGGCACACTTTGGATTAAATCTTCCGATAAATTCTCAATGTACGACATATAAATATCTGCTGAAAAGGGCCCTAACAGACGCCCCATAGCAACACCATCAACCTGGCGGAAACAATCGCTTTCAAATGTAAACCTAACATTGTTAGTACATAGAAGTAACAAATCCCTTAAATAAGATAATAATTATATGTTTAGGCCATATAAATTAATATCGGTTGTCTATTTTGAGTCTATAAAGTGATGAAAAACAAAAGTTATACACGGTGGATAACATAAGTTAGAATAGATAGCTAAGAGGTAGGTGCATTCAGTTTAGTAAAATTTCACTCTGCAATCAAATTTCCCTCTCCTTTGTTCGCCTTATTCAACACTTCAGATTCTTCACATAGTCATCATTGTATTCTACCCCATCATATATTGCTTGATATATGAAATGCGGTTCGGGGGTAATAACAAGCTGCAAACTTATAGTGTATCTACCCATTTTTTTGCACTTATCAGCCACAAGTCAGTATAATAAACAGGAACAAAAGAAAAATCGATTAAAACACATAAATATCAATTTTGTTGATAAATATTTATTCCTTCCAAATATTGTCACTGTGATGGATTTAATTGTCTTCTAGCTAACGCTTCACTATAAAATGCACCACGATGTAAGGCAATTCTTGCAAGCAGTTCATCATGACTGGAACGTATTCCTGATAGA